ATTTGATATGCTTAAATATTAATTATATATTTATTAATTAAAAGAAATTAGTAGGGATCAAAAGATTACCAAATGATAAACTGAATATAGCTATTTTGACTACATATCGAAACGAATTTTTATTTTTATAGAATATCGTGAAACTAGAATACGATTAAATTCTGATTTAATATTGACATAGTCGTTTTCCGCAACGAATATTTTGATAGTATGCTGGCACTATGTAATTAAATTTTAACTTTTGTATACTTGCTAGTATGGAACTTTTATTCAAATCTACAAACACTCACAAATATAGTTACATGTTATCGATGTTTCTGGGAAATAAAGTCATTTTGACAAGAAAATTTATCAAAGTGGATAGAGGTTCGCAATTAAGGACACAGCATTCTATTAGAGAAATGTGATAATGATGAAAATGGTGATTTGAAAAATGAGTAGGTACTCATATAACGTATTACTATGATTGGTACCCCAAGGATTTCCGTAAAATGTAAATAATCCGGTTACTTTATACAAATACAAATGCGAAGTATCAATGAATTATTGGATCTTTTCGCACGTATCAATCGAATAAATTGTTTTTCTTCTTATGAACACAATTGTGCTAAATTTATATTTTCTTTGTAAATATATAATAATTTTACCTATTCTTTAATTAAAGTTAATTAATAAATTTAATTTTATACCATTATTGTTAATTTATTAAAAATAATTAAATAAACATTCAAGAACACAAATAAAATTTCCTAAATTAATCATTATTCGTTATTTTAATTTAAATTTAAATTAAGATATATTTTTGTCTAATTATACTGCATTAATTAATTGCAGAATACATAATCAAATCACATATATATTTGTCTTTTTATTTTTTATAAGTATTTTATATTTTATTATATAAGTTTATTTAAAATAATTTTTTATGTTACAATTAGTGCAAGCTGTTTTTTAAATATAGTTCTGAATTAAACAGTATTTTTATATGACGATAAGATCTTATATTAAATAATAAATTGAGATAAAAATCATCTGCGGTTTAATACAAATTAATTGCATAAACGTGTCATGAAATAAATAGAAAAAGTTTCTCTTTTCTTCACTATGTAGCTTGCAAGAGAATGTATGTTTATAAAGCTTGTTTTAAAAAGCACACTATCCGCTTTTTGTGTAAAAATTGCATGTGCATGTAGTTTAACCGTCATGCATCGGTAAATGCATAACGCTACACTTTGCGTATTTCTCATTTATGTTTATTTCAGTTACTATCAACATATCTTATAGAGCTCGAAGCTGTAAACAAAGTTTTGTATCCATTTTCATAAAATTGTACTCCATATAAATCGTTTATTAAAATTGTAATATAAAGCAACGTGTGAATGTGATGTAGTGTAAGAAATATAATTCAATCTGTTTTAAATAAATATATAGACAATCGTAAACTAAATCTGTAATATTCGTTGATATAAGAATTAAAAACGGAATTGATTATATCGCATTTTATTAATAAGCAGATCTTTTAATATAATTCTGTTTATTAAAAAAATAAATGTAAAAAGTAGCTTTTACCCTAATTTTTCATAAATTGTATATACAATTGATAAATGTTACAGTATTATTAATACTTAGATGTTCTTTTAACAAAGATATAACTGTTTACGATACTCGCATTGCCTTATAGAATACATTTAACTTTTTTGTTGAAATTATTTTATTATTTTTAAGAATAGATAAAACAGATGATATTATATTTAAATGTTAATATAAATATTATTAATATAGTTCATAAAACAAAATACGTTAAAAATGATATAACGGCAAACATATATTTATTATGTTATGTAATTTATGACATACGTTGAAGAATATTTGAAAAGATGATTTCTTGATAAGATAATGTTATTTATCAATGTGTGTCTCTGATAATTGATATTCTCTCTAAAGCACGGAGAGTGAAATATCATTCAATACGAGTGAAATATAAGTATAACAAAACGTGAAAGTTGAGCTTGGAAACTTCGAGTGACTCGCCACTGCAAAATGACTTGCCACTTAAATTGCAAACATCTCACGTAACTCTTCATAAACCTCTACAGATTGAAAAATGTATGATGCAAATTTTTATGTTTCTTCTTAACTAAATAATATTTTATCTAAAATTAAAAATTTAAATTTTATATTTTCACATTATTACAGTAAATAGTAATGAACAATATAAATAAGATTTATATGTATATACAAAAAGTTATATATACTATATGTATATATAGAATATTTATTGTATTGAAAATAAATAAATAAAATAGAGATATATTTCACAGATATACTATT